AGGCCTTCTCCACAACCCCAGACTGCACCGCCTTTCCTGGGCTCGATATTCTGGTCCACCACTTCAAAAGACTTCAGCTTTACCAGAGGCTAGACCAAATCTAGAAACTCATAGGATCAACCTACCCGAGCTCACAGAGACCGAAACAGCCATCAGGCAGCCTCCATGGGACTGACCTGGGCACTTTACATACATGTTACAGTTTTGTAGCTTGGTCCTCTTGTAGGTCTCCTAATAGTGGGAACTGGGTTTTTTTTTTCACTGACTTGTTTACTGGTTTTTGGGACCCTACTCCTCTGCATACTGGTCTGCCTTGCCCAGTCTTTTAAACATGGGGAGGTGCTTAGTCTTCCTGCGACTTGATATGCCGCGTTTTGTTGATAACTCACAAGAGACCTGCCTTTTCCGAAAGAGAGATGGTGGGGGAGGAACTACCACTGGGATGTAAAATAGATAAGTGAGTTTAAAAAAGAAAACAAAGATAAAAGCGAGGGGGAAAAGGCTGAGTAGAAAGTTCTGGACCCTTCCAGGATGGCAGCTGTGGAGTCCTCTTGAAACGCCATGAGCTCGGTCAATGCCATGACGTCCGCTTCACTGGACTGTTGGAAACACTTTACTCCTCTGAGATCCCTGGCGTCTCGTTTTTTAGAGATTTTGCTGGGGGACATCTATAATCGCCATTTGTTTCTCTGATTACCTGTGATACAACCCATTTCCCACCTTTTTTATGTTTTTAAAAATTCCTGCCTTTCCTTGATGACAAAACTGCATTGAGAATCCTTCCATATGATCCCAGTCAGGGTGGCTGTCTTTAAGAAGGAAAATGACAGCAAAGGCTGGGGAGGATGGTAGGGAGGGACCAACCTGCTCATCGCTGGGCATCGTAAACTGCTACAGCCACCGCAGAAGTCAGTATGAAGGTGTCTTCTCACTACTGTGACCAAGCATCCTCATTAAAAAAAAAAAACTTAAGGGAGAAAGAGTTTATTTTGGTTTACAGTCCAAGAGGGCTGTGTTCCACCATGGCGAGGAAGAACAACAGGAGCAGGGGAGGCCTCGTGGCATGATCAGGGCACTGGTGTCACATTGCATCCCGTCTCACGAAGCAGAGAGTCATGAATGCATGCTAGGGCTCAGATCAATGTCTGCATTCTGCATGGTTCAGGATCCCTGCACATAGAACGGCCCTGCCCAGATTCATATGGGTCTTTCAACATGAATCAACGCAATCGTGACCATCTCCAGCAAGCATGCCTGGGAGGCTCCTTCCCATGTGGTTCTAGATCCAATCGACTTGGCAGTCAAGGGTGCCCGTCACTAGGGGGTTTCTCAAAAGCTAAAAGTAGGTGTACATTTTTGACCTTAGTCCTCCTGACCTGGTGAATTTTTTTCCATGTATATTGTAGTCGGAGGCTGCTTGTTCGTTCCTGACCACCAGACCCGAAATAATCACACAGAAACTGTATTAATTACAATACGCTTGGCCAATCACTTCAATGTATTGCTAGCTAGCTCTTATACCTTAAATTAACCCTTTTCCATTATTTTATATTTTAATCACGAGGCTTGTGGTTTGCCGACAAGGTTCCCGGGCTACATGTTTCCTTCGGCGGCTACGTGGCATCTCTCTGACTCTGCCTTCTCTTCTCCTCTATCTCTGCTTGGAATTCCCATCTTGCTCTGTTCTGCACTGCAATAGGCCCAAGGGAGCTTCTTTATTAACCAATGGTAATAGAACATATTCACAGCATACAGAGGGAACACACATCAGTATATGTGACCTTCTTTATCATGCACCCTTATTTACCTAAGGGTAAATGCTGGTGTTAGTTGCCACGTCCACAGCAGTGACTGCCGTGTAGTGACAAAATGCCTCTGCGCTGGCTTTTGCCTGCTGAAGGATTGGGGTTAGAGCTTCTTGGAGCGAAGCCCCAGGTGGTCCCCCTGGCAATCAGCAGTCCAGAGAGGACCTGATGCCCTAGGCAAATCTCGTATCTGGAGATGGCCCTGAGAGCGAGCCCTCCTGACACCTTGCCTGATCTTTCTCTGTATTTCTTAACTTTCTTGTTTATAGCTGACCGCTTACCAAGAGATCAAAGTACGTCCTTGGCTCGGCTCCACTGTTCAATAAAGCAGTCCTTGAGGAACTGAAGTATGCCCCATGCCACATGAGCCTGGGAAACTTTATTATTTATGAAACAGAAGCGGCTAAAGTTGATATGTTATGAGGGAATCGTCATAGTGAATCAGATTTAGAGAGAAAAGGAGAGTTAGAGAAAATTCCCCTTTATGAAAAGATTAGCTAGATCTCAGAAGCCCTGGAGTCTTTATAGTAAGAAGGAAAGAAAGGAAATTATTGATAACATGAGACTAGTTTTAATATATTGGTATAGGAACTATCATGAGAAAATGAGAAAACTATTAGGGGATATGGAGCAAAGAATAAAAACTATATAGATGGAAAGCTAAACACAGGACCCTGAGAACTAGTCTCCCACGGTAGAAAGTAAATAATGGTGTGAGACAGAATTCTAAAAGACAAAACAAAACTAAAAGTCCTTGCCAACATCTTGAGCACGGAAGGGGGAACACGTAGAAAGGAGCACGTAGAAGAAGCTCTATTTTGGTTATGCTTAATCTTGATTTATGTCTGGAACCCTGAGTGGGGTGATGTAATGAACCTGCCAACTTCTTTGATCTGTTTTGTACAAAAACTGAAGCTTTACAGAAGTAAAATTGCAGCAGATTTTCACTACACAGTGTGTCTGTCTGTCATTTCCCTTGCATCGTATCCTGACTATCCTATCCTTCACCCTGTTCTCCCGTGGATAGCGGTCTCCGAGAGGGACGGTCCGCGGCAGTTAGTAGGTCAACTGTAGAACAGAGGGAAAAGGGCTCAGGCATACGGCTTGGTTATGACTTACCAACAGTCCTACCAGGCAAGTGAGCTTTAGGAAAAGTCCTGGAGAGTCCAGTACTCAGCAAGACCTTCATAATGAATTGTCAGCTCCTGGTGGAGATGGGGCAGCCACTAGGAGAGTCCTGAGACCAGTATTATTACTAGAGGTCACCAGTGAAGCTTTAGGAAAATGCTACGCAGGCATGAGATTTCCAAATGCACATTCAAAATTCTGATCAGAATATATATGTTTATATAGAATTGATGGTGATATTCACTCATGGATTCTCCTGAGGATTGGACTGTAATTAGCCACAAGTGGACTTTTCTTTGGACCGCCAACTTTCAAAAAGACTAATTGGAGACTTATTTATTATGAAAGCTAAGCCTAGGCTTAGGCTTGTTCCTAACTAGTTCTTATTATAAACTAACACATATATTTTTTTTTATCTAAGTTCTCTTAAGTGGCTTGGTTACCTTTATTCTACACTGTTCATCCTGCTCCCTCTCCATGTGGCTAGTGACTCGGTTTTCTTCCTCCATTTTCTTCCTCTCTGACTTCTTTCTGTCCACAGAAGTCCTGCCTCACCTCTTCCTGCCTAGCTAATGGCCATTTATATCTTTACTAAACCAATCACAGAGAAAAACATCTTCACACAGTGGTAATGAATAACCTGCAACAAGTAGCTTTTAACTATTCACTACCGAGTCTTCTAAATTGATTCAGACCATCTATACATGTCAGAGATTATTGTGTTGATTTATTTTTGATTCTCAATGACATTTACTGATGTGGATCACAATAATCGTCCAACTCCTTAGTAGTTTTGTGCAGTTTCAAACACACACTTCAGAGAACTATAGCTTCTGTCAAGGTTTCAGGGGTCTGTTGTTTCGAACTACTTGAGCTATTTACTGACAAATAAGATAAATTGATACATTTTCCAAGCCCTGTCTCAGGGAAGGAAGGACAGTTCCTTGTGGAGCTGTTGAGGGTCTTGTTGAAGTACACAGGTAATGCAGACAATGGCTGGACTTCAGATGCAATGTACAGAACACCGCTAGCTCTGCTGAGATCAAGGTAGAGAATGGTTCGGGAGGGGTTCCTGAGGAGACCCAGACAGCTCTGCTCTTTGACTCCTTAATCTGCCAGGCCCTAAATCATAAATGGCAGTAGTGGCAGAAGAAGATGGAACTTAAGGTTCTGCACATATTTTATTTGCAACAATTTTTATTGATAGATGAACTAAGACCAAATATAGACCCCGTTGAGACATGATGGTTACTTTACTGTAATACAATTATTCCACCAGACCAGAGGTTTTGGAGTTTATTTGATCAGATTCTAAACCCTCACGGACCCCTCTTTCCAGCTTCTATCACTATTAAATTTTCTTGAGCCTTCTCTGCTCTCACTGTTCCGCCAGCTGCGATTCTTCCTCTCAGCTCAGTGGACAAACTCTAGTCCATGTCTGAGCTGGGCTTGCTGCAGGGACACGGGAAGATTTCCAGACTTGGCGGAGTCTACTCTCTCCTTTAATTTTGTAACGGTTTTATCCCCAGGTTCATTTTCCTCAGCTTCCCTACTTGTCTTTTTTAATGTATGCTCATCTGTTATACATCATCCCATTATGCACGCTGTATGCATGCGCACCTGTTACTGCTGCTGTCTAATGTAGCTGATAAGGTCTGCCATAATTAGAGTTTATCATTTCCTTTGTCTGCTTGCACATGTAAACTCCATGTTCAGGCTCAGGAATGTTCCAGCATCTTTATCCTTCAGTCTCTCTGTTCTCCCATTCTCCTTGAGAACTATTTTAAGTCCGTCTCCTGAGAGATAACCTGTATTAGCTCTCACTGCTTTCGGAGCAGGTGACTTCATACCTATTTCACCAAGGAAATAATAGACGTCAAAAGGAATCTTTTTTTTTTTTAACCCTCTTTATTCGAAAGCTAATGTCTATATCCGCTGTCTTTTCTCTTGTTTACTGGTTTTAGTTTTCATAAGGTAGTAGGTTCTAAGCTTTGCCTCCACATGACAATGTATAAATATATTCTTGTCTGGACTGAAACACTTGTTGATAAACACAAGAAGTTAAACTGATAGTTTCAATATTTATTAATAAGGCTGATACAACAGCCTTTATACAGCACAGTTTTCATAAGTTATCAAGATACAACTTGTGTATGGTCACAAAACCAATACATGTTTTTACATAGAGTGAAACTCAAGACAGATTTACAAGCATTTTGCTCTACACAATTGTCATGTATTTTTCAGGTCGGTTTATACAATCAATAGCCCAGGAATTTGCATTTGTTCATTAAAATTTTTTTTCAGAGAGTTAGGTAGACAAAGAAATAATAAAAAGATTTGCAAATCACCAAGAAAGCATGCAACACATGGTCAGAAATGGGACACATCCCTAAGTACTTCGTGTTTTATTGGAAACAAATTTTATTAGGCTTTAAACTTAGACAAGAAACACCCTTTGAAAGAGACGTGTTGGTAAGATATTAGCACACACACTGGTCAGTACAGGAGCACCTGAGCACATCACTGAACACAGACACAGACACAGTTGAATGAGAATCACAATCACATGCTGACTTCCAGAGGATGGGGTTAGTTCAACAGCTGCTGTGTTATCAGAGGTCTAGCTATGTACAGGGTAACAGATTCAGAAAATGCTCTCAGGCTTCCTATCGGATAAAGAACTTGATTAAACGATTTTTGTTGACTGTGCATCTTTCACAACAGCCACACGAGACATACAGAAAACATAGATATGTCCTATTCCATGAGACTGTCAGCTTCATGCATTCATTCCTGTTACACTAGAGGCCAACAGCTATTCAGGGAAAAGCTCCTGATGAGTTATCAAGCGTTCACTTTCATTTCAAACTCAAAAGGAGGGAAAGTCTCTCCTGTCCATACATATATTTATAAACACATGTTGCTGTAGTCGGCTAATTTTGGACTATTTGACATTATAGCAATTAAAATAAGTTTTTAAAAATATTGTTAGTTATGATTTAAATAATAAAGTAAAAAAATACTATAGACATCTTTATGGTATTTTAATGAAATGAAGCATTGGTTAAATCATTTCTCATAAATTGGGCACAATATAGTAACAAATCGTTTATTTTACTTCACATCACTGCCACCACTATTGTTACTATGGCTACCACCAACATCATAACAGCCATTCTAGAACGAGAATCAATATCAGCTGGTTACCAGCTATAATTTTCCCAGGATACAATTATGCAAGTGTGTGTGATTCCCCAAATCAACCTCATAGATATGCAGAGGATGTATATTTAACTATCATTAATTACTAAAATATGGACCGTATTAAGGATCAAGGGCAAGTGCTATCTCTTAATGTTGAGTATTGTTCTTTGAAACAGAAATGCTAATCAAACAAGTTCAGAGTCACCAAAATTTTTCTTAATATTAAGTAAAACCAGAGAAAACACCAGCATCTTGCTACGAGTGTCACGTAATCATCTGTAGCAATGATTCTATAATTCCCTGTTTTTATAAAAATTCCCTCTGTGCTTTTTCTTCTCCGGTTGAAAGATTTCTTACTACTCATCTTTAAACCAGCCAGCGACTTCTGTCTTTGACGACTCAGTGGACTAGTAGGGAAAACAAAATGCTTCTCAAGGTGTAAGTGCGGCAAGAAGTTTGATAGCCTAGTGATTAGAGATTATAAACTTGGTTACTGTTAAGATAGAAAAGCTAATTCTAGTAATAAAACATAAAGTAAAAAAATGGAAAATCATGTGTTGTGTTATTTACCAAAAAAAAGTAAAAAAAAAAAAACCACTAAGAGCCCCCTTTGCAATTAAAAAAGAAAGAGTTCCGTGGTGAGAAGGGCCAGTGGCATCCCTCCAAGTGCATTCCTGTAGGAATTGGTGTTGCATAGAACAAGTCCAGTTACAACCTAGGAGCCTGGTCAGCTGCACACTGGCAGGACCTTTTTCAAGGGGAATGCTGGTGCATGGTAAGAAGCCTGTCGTTGACTCTCGATTGATCTCATTGATCTAGCCCTATTGTTACTCCCTTGGAATGGAGGGGCAGCTGCCCTAGAAGGGCTTCCATTATTTCAGGTGTAAGAGCTACTCCTGTTGAGTTTGTTCTGATGGGCCTTCTGAGTGTGTAAGCTGCGACAAGAACGGAGTAAGCTACCCGACTGTACAACCTTCCACCAAACCCTCGGAGTACCAGAGACGGTAGAGCAGGCTAAGAGATGGACCCGAGTTGCCTGTGAAGAGCTTTTGATGTCCCACATCCTCCTAGACTCCTTTCCTCCCCAGTTGTGACTGGTGACAGGTTTCCAGTACAAGTGTCTGCTGGAAATATCCATGACAACCACCAATATATCTAGTAGTCTCTAAAGATAAATGTTAGCAATATCCTATCTTCGAAAATTTGCATCCCCCGTGTTCACTTAGAAGACTGTCAGTGGCAAATGGTATTGCATTGGGAGGGGAGAAGAAAGAAAATAGGGGAAAGAGAATGTTGGTATTTTAGGACAAAAAAAGTGAACTTGGATTTTTTTTAATGAGTATAAGATATACAATTTGGCATATACTAGAAATGTTTACTTCTAGGTTCTTGCATTACTTTCAAATTTAATGTTTTTTTTTCCAAAAATGAGAAAATTCAATATCCAGCCAATATTTTTGAGATGATTTCCTACAATCCCAATAAAGCCTCATCTTAAATAAGCTAACAACTTTTAGTTCAAGTACTCTGAAAAACAATTTTGTTTATTTTGGGTAGAATGTGATAGTGGAATAAGAGCTGTGGCTTCAGAAAATTTTGTATGACAAATAACTTTTATTTAACATTCTATCTTTTTCAGGTTAAATGGAAGTCTATTTAAGTGGAAGTTGAATAAAATGAGTCTTGGAACAATTTCCTCTTTTTATTCATGCTTATCCTTGGTTGGAAGTTGTTTCTCACATATAAAATTTGTGAATTAAAAAGCTACACAATAATTGTCTTTCAATTTGTATTTGGGAATGTGCTTTCCTAGTTCCTAGACCTCTTTATTTGCGCATCCTGGCATCCTGTTAGGAGGGATAGGAAAACACCATTATTTAGGGGGAAGGGAATTTGACCTGCATTTGAGAAGTGGTAACGTGCAAGGTCAGGAGCAGAATCAGGACCAGACGCCAGGACTTCGGCCTCGGCTGAGTGCATGTCCCGCGGCTCCCTGCTACTTTTTATTTATTGACACTGGTGGTGGATAGGGAGGGAGTGCTTCGTTTTGGCAATGCACACATTGGTTGTTTGGTTCTATATTATTAAAATAGATCAAATGTATTTTAATTTCCAACATTGATTCCCCCCCCCAGCCTTTCCCAACATTAGCTTTCTCACGATGGTATTATCACCAACAAGAAAGCAGAACAGGAGAAAGGACTTGAGGGTGTTGTCAGGGTGTTCATTATATTGTTATTGAGTATAGAGAAAAACCACAGAAAAATTAGAAAGTGACAACAGTTTAATCAATGTCATATGATAAAATATGATTTTTTTTTGCCAGAACAATAATTTGATGTCTCTGACAACACATTACGCAAGAGGAAGGAAAGACGTGGAATGACGCATGGAGGGCAGCTCCTCGTGAATGAGCAAAGCTCCTCATAGGGCACACCAACTAATCTAGAGGCCTGGATGTGCTGCTGAAAGTGCCTTGACTCAGTGGAACGTTATGGAGACTGTAATGGTTTCAAACAAGGGACATGTTTTGCGGGTCAGCATTCTCTTTTAGTATCCAGTCACTAGTTTTTTTTTGTTTTATTTCTAGGTAAATACAGTTTAATTTTAACCTACGATTATCTTCACTCTTGACTATTTTAAGTTACACCAAAAGGAGATGTGCTTCTGCCGGATAGAATCCAGACCTAGCGCTGTATAGCTTCCTAACGTAGACATAGGGAAAACATGCACGGTCCAGTCTCAAATCCATTGTTCACAACTCCTGCTTCATTTTCCCCATCAACACAGTCACCTTCTGGTCCTGTAGACAACTCAGAGATGCATCTTAGGCCAGAGTTCCAAAGCAGGAAGTTTTATGAGAATATAAGACCAAGAGTTTTGTCCTTTTCAAAACCGAGCTTCACTCGACCCGTCCTTTGGAACACAAGGTTTCTGTGTGCACAAACAATTGCTTTCACTTTACCTTTGACCGCCATAGAAAAACCTCTGTGCCTCTTAATTAGCTTCAGCCCAGGCTGCTCCAAGACTGCCACGTCAAAAAGTCAAATCTCCTTCCGCAGCTTCTCTTCACAGCTTTGAGAAATCCAGGGTCTCTGGCCTGTTTTCTTCGGTTTGCTTCCAACACGTGAACTTGAGGAGGCATGTTGTATTCCACAACAACGCGGTGTGTTGGCTTCTTGTTTCCTTCCTCATGTTTGCCCCTGAAAACATGGATCAGCACAGAAGGGTCCAACTCCAGTCTCCCTCTGAGGCTACGGAGCTCCACTTCCACACCCTGAGCAGACGCAGCTTCAGTGTGTTTGGGTAGGCGTGGCTAAAAGTTTGTGCCAGTTCACTAGTCTCTTCCTCAGGTCCACTTTGTCAAGCCAGATACAGGCCTCTCCAATCAAAGTCTTCTTCACGAACTTCCCTCCATTGGAGAAAAGCAAAATCTAGAGAGCAAAGTGAGAATTATACGTGTATATATGGATGCATACACACATGTGCGTCTTTCAACTTTTCAAGACTCTTTTTCATCAAAGAATCACAAGGAAGAAAGAGAGACATGAGGATATAGTGTAAATATTTGAGAGAAAGAAGAAATATTATTAAAATATCTATAAATGAGTCCAGATTAACATTTCTGTGAAGGATAGGCAACGATGACATATACTGGGAAAGCTGATTCTAATCAGATATGCTTAAACTGATGCAAAATTTGATATTTAAAATCTGGAATTTCAGATATAACTATAACTTCTGCTTTTTGATTTGGGTGTTTCTCATAATTTTTTAATCACTAGAGTCCCTGCAATCATATTAAGTCGGTTTAATAAGAACTCCTTATGCTTTTTTCTGAAAACTCCCCTTTCTTAATTTCTGGATGACACCTGTGTTTTCAGATGCTTTAGAGTTTTGTCCTTAATATTTTATTCCTTCCTACCTTCATTTCAGCTAACTCTCTCAGTGAGGCTTAACTTTGTTTTTCAAATATATATGCACATATAAATATAAATGTATGTACATATGCATATATATGATTATTTATATATATTGCTAAAACTTTAATTTGCATGTATGTACGTCTGGCGAGTCCAGAAGAGAGTGTCAGAGCTCCTGAAGCTGAAGGTAGACGGGGTTGAGAGCCAGATGACATGGGCCCTGATGGTGAACTTGGGTCCTCTGGAAGAGCAGTATGTACTTTGGACCACCAAGTTATCCTTGCAGCCCTGAACTTGTCTTTGTTACTTATGTTTCCTCCATCACGAAATGGCGTCATACAGCTGCATCTCTTCCCTTCTATCCACATTTCTCCCCCTTCCCTTGTCTACTGAAGGCATGCTATGTGAAAATAATTCTGCTAGATGGCAGGGGAAAAGATAATGAAAATTAGGCCTTACCATAGAGAAGTAGTGGCAGGTGAGCGCATACATTATTGTATAGGAGAAATTTTGTTGAGTCGCATAAAAAGTAAAATAATTTGTGAATGTGTTCTGAAGTATACTTAGGGTTCTCAGTCAAAAAGTATACTGAAAGATGGAAGATGGTGATATATAAGAAGGAAGCTTTGAAGGAGAGGAAAATTTGAGCCAGGAACTCAAGGCTTAACTTAAAAAGACTCAAAAGTGTCTGGAGTGCTGACTGAGTGGGAAAGCGACGAAGACCCAAGACTGAAGCAACCTAAGTAATGCTCATGGTGGAGGACTCTGAATGATGCAAGAAAAATGACGCTTTACCGGACAGCTTTAATGGAAAGCAAACAAGTTTAATAAAGAAAACTCTGGCAGCAGGGTGCTGAAATGAAAAGGTGAGACATCAGAGAGAAACGGACCAGGTGAGCTACCAAAATTCTGCAGACACCAAAGAAAGGAGCCAAGAGTGAGTGTGAGCGTGGGGGCAAGAGCAGTCCACCTAAATTAGCAGAGGAGACGAAAAGATTGGCTGGTGATTGGATGGATTGGACAGACTGAGAGGGTTCAGGGGGGTACTGCACTGATACTTAGTGATTAACTATTATATAGTATGTGATCAATATTTAAACACTGAATAATTGGATGAGCAACACATATAATGTGAATGAGAAAGTTGATCACTATTATAGGACACAGTTACCTGAAGAGAATGACCCGCAGGACTCAGGCTGAACCTGAAGGTTTCGTTGAAGGAAGGCTCTCGGTCATGCCTGCACACCCTTGTCTTCTTCTTGATAACCTTCTTTTGAGTAGAGATGTTTATCACATATATTTTCACATATAAATCTGAAAATAAGAAGTAATCCCGGTAAGTGTCCATTACCACTCATAGTGCTTCCTGTTGCGCGCTGATGAACACAAGCACAGGAAATGCTACACAGTTTGTTGCAGAAAGCATAAAGTGATTGTAAGTAGACAGCTTTCTTAGAAATTTAAGTTAGTTTTCTTGTTGTTTATTAAATGTATCTCTCCAACTTATATATTTAAAAATCTAGCTGAAGACTAGGAAATTACAAATTATATAAATTAAAATTTATAATTTATAAATCTCTAATTTATATGCTGGAAAATTTTCTAGCTGAAGGCTAGGAAAATGATTTTATCCTTTTTTCTTTTTTGATTTTTTTCGAGACAGGGTTTCTCTGTGGCTTTGGAGCCTGTAGACCAGGCTGGTCTCGAACTCACAGAGATTCGCCTGCCTCTGCCTCCCGAGTGCTGGGATTAAAGGCGTGCGCCACCACCGCCCGGCTGATTTTATCCTTTAAGTGAGAAGTAAAGCAAGTTCTTGCTTCATAGTTTTTCTAATATATTTCATGCACACATAAAAATTTCGGTAGAATTTCTTAGAATATTTAAGACATGGTCGTAGTCAACTAGTAGTTATCTTGTTTATTATCACGGGACTAGATACCTGGTAAGTGATCCGGAGACTTAAATTTGTAGGTAATATTTCTGCACTGGAGAATTTCAACTATTAGTTGTTCGCCGTCTGTTTTCATTTCCTTTTTCAGGGCTAGCTTGATCTCTCCCATCACTTGAGTTTTGGCTAGAAGATTTAATGAAAACAAGTCGAGGAAGCATCAGCGCTACTTGTTAAATGCTTAGCTTAATCACGTCCACGTGTTTACTTATGGGATTTTTATCAAGCATTAAACACTTTGTTGTATGCTATGATATGAGGCGCAGTCCAAACCCTCAAGGACTAAAGAGTTTCCTGAGATCACATCGTTCAGATACTGGTAACAAAGAATGCTAAATATGATGATGGTAGCCTAGCAACCAGGGAGATAAAAGAAACCGTAAGCAGATGTCCCACTCAGCTGCAGAGTCTTAGGTTTGAAGAGGTGACGGACGACCTTGTAAGAAGAAAGACAAACACGGAAATTACAAAATTCTAATATACTATGTAGGCGTTAGAGAGGCTTTAAAATGTGCTATATTCTTCGCCAACAGTTGTGTATCATCAGCTTGCTCATGAATACACGGTAGCATAACAAATCTCACCGCATAGAGTTTCCACTTCCTGTTTCTTTTGTTGATATAGACAGTTGTAATGTGTAATATAAAACTGTACAAGGCAACAGTACTGCTTCGGTAAGAGCAAGCCAAGCGGGCAGGGTTGGGAGACTGTCTAGGCCGTGAACCGGCTAAACCATTATTAGGCCTTCCACCCAGGAGGACTGGAGTCCAATTCCACATGGGCGCCAAAGGAAGAAGGACGCTTATAAGAAATCCCACACTAGCTCAGAATTGAGAAATAGCCGGTTATGTATTTAGGGATAGACTCACAAATCAGAATCCTCTGCTTAACCGGAGAACAGAAGCCGAATCCAGCAGCTGGAAAGAGAGCCGACCCATCGACTTATATAGCATAAGAGGCCATGCCCCAGTGGGTGGGTAACCACAAGCTGTAAGACTTCCTAAAGCAGATATAAATTGTAAACTAGATTCATTTTAATTTCTTTTGCTGTTTTACCTTTCTCTTTAATTGAAGGAACATTTCATGCTACATGAAACCTGCTATTAATCTACCCATTTCTCTATTAATTCATGAACTCATCCAACTCCTATTTGGTTCACTGTTCTACTTTGGGATTAGCCAGCAGAAGGGATATGGTATGTATAAAATGCCGAAGCATGAATGTAAGTTTATTTTTAAGTGAAAATCTTACATTTCTAATGCCGATAAATATAATCCACACAATCAAGACTCTTCTGAATTTTTAACAGCACAAATATAGCCCAAAGAACAAATGCTCGAGAGCACATTGTCGGCAGCTGTGCTCAAAACAAAATATAAACTTAGAAATTTTAAATAATCGTCTCGGCTCACAGGATTTTTCACCCACCGGGAGGAGGTAGTTTAATTAGAGACTTCGATGGGCCAACAAAGGAATAGGAAGAAAGATTCTGAATTTTATAGTGACCTGGTTCCAAAGAGAATGCGACACAGGACCTCGTCCCGGGAAAGGCTAGAGCTGGGAGGAGGCTGAGGACTAAGTGAGATGCAGGGGAAAGGGATCCTTCTGGAGAGAAGGAAGAGCGTGTCAGCAAACGGGACTATCATCACACGGGGAATCCAGGCCTGAAGGGTGGCCGGGCGCTCTTCACTGGGGCCGCATCCGCAGCTTTGTTTACATACCCAGAGCACACGCATCCATCGCAAGTCTTTCAGTACAGCTGCCAACAATGTCTGCTCAAACTTTTGCTTTCAGGAGATATATTTATACTTTAAAAAAAAATCAGAAGGGCCTTGCTTATAAGGATTATATCTCTCAGCATTAGAGTTTAAAATTCTATTTTAAAAATTTAATATAAAGCTAAACATTTTAAATAACCATTCATCCAGCATGAAGGGAAACAACAATATTTACAAGTAAACGAGGAATGTTGTTTTATGTACTTTTCAAATTTTCAAAACACTAGGCTCAGCCGCAAATGTGACCCCACAAGTTCTACATCAAACCCACGGTGACACACTATTTTCACAGAGGTATGTGAAATTCATTCAAAGCTGGAAATAGGAAATATATTTTGCCACCCATTTTGGACAATCATCAATAATTTTGATACTATGTCAAGACTTAACTAGATGTAGTTTCTTTTTTTTAAAAAAAATATTTATTTATTTATTATGTATATAATATTCTGTCTGTGTGTATGCCTGCAGGCCAGCAGAGGGCACCAGACCTCATTACAGATGGTTGTGAGCCACCATGTGGTTGCTGGGAATTGAACTCAGGACCTTTGAAAGAGCAGGCAATGCTCTTAACCTCTGAGCCATCTCTCCAGCCCCCTAGATGTAGTTTCTTGAAGGTTATGGACAAAGTAATATCAGAGGAGATGGACACTTCTGAAGTTCCAATTTAATATAAGATAATGATCAGAAAACTGTGAAATTATTTTATAAAAAGTGATTAAATTTCTAACTCCAAAAGCTAAAAAAAAAAGCAAAACCAAAACAAACAAAAAAGCTAGAAAGTAACAGGAAAGAAATAATAGAAGGTAAAAATAAAAATCTGTGAAGCAGAGAATTAAACAGATTATAGACATTATTAACATATCAAAATTCTGGCATTCTGACATATATTAGCACTCTAGAAAGGCAATAGTGTTAGACTATGGCATGTGGGCCTTACGTATACCATTTTAAAGTTCTGTGCTGTAAACATTTCAGCGTCATGGGTACACTCTAATAATGTTTCGCTTACATTTTGTTCACAGTTTATTGCAGACCGCAAACCATAAATCTCATCCAGTGTATTTACTTGAACCTGAGAGGGCCAGAATTCATTTTGATTAGTTAGCTTATTTCTGAAGCATAGCTCCCAATATAGCTCAGACTAGCCTAGAACTCGTGATCCTTCTGCCTCAGCCTCTGAAGCTCTGCTTTCAAGCATGACGCATCAGGCCTGGCGTGTTCTTTGGACATTGGAAGTGAGAATGAATTTGCACCAAGCCTGATGACTTGTGTGTTTCCTCCCCGAAAGCCACAGGGCAGTCCAAGAGAACTCTCACAAGCTTCTGACCTCTTCATGCACACTGTGGCACAACCCTAGCCTTAATAAATGAATAAGGGTTAATAAAAGGGGGTGTCCAGTCTTAATTACAGCTTGTCATGCCATGTTCAGTGGATATCCCTGGAAGGCCTGCTCTTTCTGAAAGGAAAATGGAGGAGGAGTGGATCTGGGTGAGAGGGAGGTGGGAGAGGAATGGGTACCAGAAGTAGAGGGAGGACAAACTGCAGTCAGGATGTATTGAAAACACATAAACAGACAAAATACTCCCAAAACATTCTTAAAAGAATGGCAAACCCATTCCAGTCCATTCAATCTTTAAATGGTCTCTCTCAGGAAAGTAAAAAAAAAAAAAAAAAGTTCAATGTAAAAATGAAAAAGATAGACAACATTTAGATTAATAATAATAATCTATAACATCAGTGTAATTAGAAAAATACAAATAGTAAAGTTTCAAACATTAGCATCCAAGCAAGAAAAACACTGTAGCCAGTCTCTTATCAGAGAACCTAAAACCGGTTACTTAGAGATAGAAAGACAGAGTCCAGTGAAGTCCAGCTCAGCAGCATCCCTGACTACGCTGCTCATTGCGGAAGTTTGCAAGGAAAAGAGAAGAGTAGGCCACAAAAGAGGACCATGGACTTCAGTCCTAAGATGATCGACCTGGCAGCCTTAGTTCATCAGTACGGGGCTCTCTGGGTCTTAGCAGGCAGGTGAAACAGTTACCACGCACCACAGCTGAAGATCCTTCAGGCTACAAAGACATTCCTCTGTTTGCTGGATTGAAGACTCTGACCTGTTCTCAAAAGAGGAAGTGAAACCAAACCCAAACAGGTGGGTAAAGTCGTTACCAATGACTGGATCCCTGTCTCAAAGCTACAGAGAGACCGACAGGGGTCCTCCATTTATCAAACCATCCCTGAGATGAAGGGAGGCAAATTCTTTTATTATTATTATTATTATTATAATCATTATTATTATTTTATTATTATTATTATATGTGAACTCTATAGAATATTGGGCTTTATTGTGATATTCTTCATACATGCCTACAATGTAACTGGGTCAAATGGTCACTTTCCTTGATCCTCTATTCTCCCCACGCCCCCTCCCTGACCCGCTCTCTTGGAGCGAGAATTCTCACTGTAAAGTGCGGTAAAGGAAGAGTCACACACTTTGTGGAGCCAACAGAGGTGGACATCAGTGAGAGCCTTAAAGTTACCGAAGCATTTTCCACCCCCGGGGAAATACACTTTCTAGGCCAAAGCCGTCTTTTCTGGGCCCAAGCTTCACCATCAACTTATCTGTTGCCTCCTGCCTTCTCACTTGGCAGAGAAGGGAGATGAAAAACCTGTTAATTAAAGTTCCCGAGCCCTCACACTGTCTGCTTGCTTCTGGGGAGTTCAACCTCACATCCCCCGCCGTGTGATATTTGTAAAGCGTTTGATAAGTTTCCCTCTGTGTAAAGACTTTTCCAACCTGCTTTTTAACTTTCTCCTTGAAGAGAGAAAAGGACATGTTTACTGAAGTCGTCTTAAAGCAGATTCTTTTGAGTGACTTTGTCTTCGGAAGCCGACGTCTGTGTGAAAATGGAAAGAAATCTGTGTGTCTCCTGTCTTCACAGGGGGCGCCACTGGCTCCAGATCCCAGGGCACCGTATACACAGGAGACGTGTGATAATATTTTAGAATAAGGGGTCAATGGCAGCAGAAAAAGACTTCAAACAACGTCTGTGTCTTGATGTCTTGAAACCCATGCTTCTTTGATTGTATTTAAAAAGCAATATTTTAAAGTTAGGAGAGAAATGATTGAACATTTTCTGTACAATGGAATCATAAATATTTGAGCGATATAGGTCTGATTAACCTGATTTGCATGCCACATAATGTATGCATTATGAATTAAAATTATTATCTGGTCTCCTTAGTAAATTGGGAGCCTAGGAGCCATGGAAGAGGATAGAAGGGGAGGAGAGAGGAAGGGAGGAGAGAAGAGAAAAATAATGAAAAAGAAATATCAACTGGTAGCC